TCCTCTGGGAAAACTTGAGGCTCAATACATAAGATAAGAAAGCAGGTCATATGATTATAAGAGGTTTCATCTAATTCTCTTCAGCCATTTGATTTATTCAAATTGGTTGTCTTTAAGCCCAGGTTCACAGCTCAAAACCATTATACAAACTGAAAAATTGTCATATTACTATTAATTTTACTTTGTATTTTCCTTTTTTAAAACTTTGTATCTATTACTTGTTAAATTTTTGCAGAAGTACAACACCTAACAAAATAATGTTGGCTCAGATGATAACAAAAGACTATGAAATAAACAAAACTGAACTTAATAATGGACTCCAGTTAGCCTGAGAGCCACTCTCTTCAAACTTCCCTTGTTGCTCAAATGTGGCTAAAGGGTTTTGACACTTGAGTCCTAGTCACCAATCATTTCCTCCAATGTGACATGAGATCAGCAACTGAGACAGGGCCATCCTTGCAAAAAGGGATAGCAAATCCAAATATAGGATGATGGATTAGCAATACTTTTGGAGAAAGATCTTGATCAAAAAGGGAAGTTTTTAAAAGTTGTCAGAGCCGGGCTCGGTGGCTCAGCCTGTAATCCCGCGCCTTTGGGAGGCTGAGGTGAGTGGATTGCCTGAGTCCGCGGGTTCGAGACCCGCATGGGCAACTTGGCGAGACCTCATCTCTACAATAAATAAAAAATGAGCCAGGCATGGTAGCGCGCGCCTGTAATTCCAGCTACTCGGAAGGTTGAGGCGGAAGGATCGCCGGAGCCCAGTGGGGTCGAGGCTGCGGTCGCCAGGAGCAGCCACTGCACTCCAATCTGGGCAACGGAGTGAAACTACAACTCAAAAAAAAAAAAAAAAAGTTGTCAGAATCAAAACGGAGTCACTAATGTTAAGAAAACCCTGAAAAATCAAGCCAAGAAAGACCTTGAAGAAAGAGTTTTCGTGCTTGTATGCCTGATTAAAAAACCACAAAGGCCACTGCAACTTTACACAAAAATACTTATGCAAAAAAATACATCTGCCCAGAAGCTCCTGTCCAACTTGCACTGGCATCGCTCTTGTTATGGAATTTTGCGGCCAAGGATAATTATTTTAAAACAGTTATGTAGTGAGTGGACTGCCTGAGCCTGCGGGTTCGAGACCTGCCTGGGCAGTGAGACCTCATCTCTACAATAAATCAAAAAATTAGCCGGGTGTGGTAGCGCACGCCTGTAGTTCCGGCTACTTGGAAGGCTGAGGCGGAAGGATCGCCGGAGCCCAGCAGGTCGAGGCTGCAGTAGCCGGGAGCGACCACTGCACTCCAGTCTGGGTGATAGAGTGAGACTCCAATTAAAAAAAAATTTTTAAAAATTATGTAATCCTTCTCATTTTTTTTTTTTGAGTTGGCTACTTGGAAGGCAGAGGCGGAAGGATCACCTGAGGTCAACACTAGGGTGGCAGTGAGCGTGCCACTGTACCCCAGCCTGGGTGAGGGAGTGAGACTCCAACTCAAAAAAAAACCAACAACGAACAACCCTAACTGTATTTCAAGTGAATAACAAACCACAATGAATAGGAGGGAAAGAACCAACTTAAGTAATTATTGTCCCCCACCCTACTAAGTGATTTTTGAGCACAGCATTTTGACTGGAAAATGACAAATCCAGAAAAAGACAAATCTTTCTGAAGGGAGAACCAGTGAGTGTCTTGAGGCCTCAGCATGGGAACACTCCCATTGCCACCACAACTACATTTCTTGGCCAAATGAAGTAAAAACCTTTAGTGAAATTTCATTAAAGAGGAAATCTAATGGCCAATAAAAAGATACTTAACCTTATTAATAAGCCCAGAAATACAAATTAAAACCATAATGATATACCCTCACAAAACTTTAAAACTCTGACAGATCATGTGTTTGGTTTGCAAGTGAGGCAATAAGAACTTCCATATGTACATTCAGACATACACACAAATTGTCACAAAACACCATGGTCAGTAGTTTGGCATTTTCTGTGAAGTTGAAAGTACATGTGGTAGACTGAAGCAATGTGGCCACAATATTTTGCAGCTCCTGCACTTAAAAGGCAAAGTCTATTTTTCACCTCTTGAACTTGGGGTGACTTTTTTACTTCCTTTGGTCAAGAAATGTAGCAGCAGTGGCGATGAAAGTGTTCTCATGCCGAGGCTTCGAGACACTCACTGGTTCTCCCTTTGTGCTCTGTGAGCTGCTGTATGAAGAAGCCCAAGCTAGCCTCACAGAGAGGTCTCCTGGGAGAACAACCCTTGCTGGCCTGCCAATGGGCTCAAGCAGAAGCGAGCCCAACCAATGCCACTTAAAGAAGAGTAGTGCAGTCCCAGCTGGACCCAGCCTGTGGTCAACCCCTCAGCTGAATGCAGCCATGTCAGTGAACTCATGTAAGCCCAGCAGAACTTTCCAGCTAACCCACAGAATCATGAAAAATGTCATTGTTGTTTTAAGCCATTTACTTCCAGAGTGATGTTACCCAACAACGGATAATTATGCCCTAACAATCTCACTTGTATACCCTAGAAAAATGTACACATAGGTAGTGCATCAGGAACATGTATAAGAATGTTTAGAGTACCTGTCATCCAGGTGGGGTGCAGTGGCATGATTATAACTTGCTGCAGCCTCAAACTCCTGGGCTCAAGCAATCCTTCTGCCTCAGCCTTCCAAGTAGCTGGAACTACAGGCACATGCTACCACGCCCGGCTAATTTTTGATTTATTGTAGAGATGAGGTCTTACCAAGTTGCCCAAGTGGGTCTCAAACCCTCGGGTTCAGGCAATCCACTCATCTCGGCCTCCCAAAGCACTGGGATTACAGGCTGAGCCACCGAGCCCGGCCCATTCTTATTATTAATATGGGTGGTGTTTACTTCGTAGTTATGTACACAGTACATTTTGCTGTATGAATTTTTTTTTCGTTTTTTTTTTAATTGGAGTCTCACTCTGTCGCCCAGGCTGGAATGCAGTGGCACAATCACGGCCACCCCAGTGTTGACCTGCTGGGCTCTGGCGACCTTTCTGCCTCACCCTTCCAAGTAGCCGGAACTGCAAGCACACACCACCATGCCTGGCTAATTTTTTATTTATTGTAGAGACGAAGTCTCACCAAGTTGCCTGGGCTGGTTTTGAACCCACAGGTTTAGGCAATCCACTTGCCTCACCCTCCCAAAGTGCTGGGATTACAGGCTAGGCCACTGAGCCCGGCCTTAGGCATTTTTTCCATATGTAATATCTTATAGTAAAAAGTTTTTCAGAAACACAAAAACATACCAGACTGGCAAAAAATTTTAAAGTCTGACCAAGTTTAATCAAGTGTTATGAAAAGGTAGAGCAAGTGGAATTCTCACCATCCTTGATTGAGGGTAATTGATTAAACCACTTTGAAAACCAGACAACAGGCCGGGTTCGGTGGCTCAGTCTGTAATCCCAGCACTTTGAGAGACCAAGGTAGGTGGATTGCCTGAGCCTGTGGGTTCAAGACCAGCCTGGGAAACTCGATGAGACCTCGTCTCTACAATAAATAAAAAAATTAGCCAGGCATGGTAGCACACACCTGTAATTCCGGCTACTTGGAGGGCCAAGGTAGAAGGATCACTGGAGCCTATATGGCAAAACTGAAGACAAGCACACTCTACACACCCTACCCAGCAATTCCATTCCAAAGTCTATACTCTAGACAACTCATTCACATGTACACATGTATATGCCCAGGCTTATTCTAGAAGAAAATGGTGGCTATTTGTGAGGGGAATATTATTGGGGAGAAATTTAGCTCAGGTTTGTCTTCATTGTCTAATCACCCCTACCTGACTAGCCCAGGCAGATGAATGGTTCTGTCTTCTGTCCTTCCCCAACACCCCTGCTGCTAGTTTGCACAAGTTTATGGCTGCCTGATTTGGTGTCTAATTCTCCTTCCCACCCTCCCCCCAAGCTGAAAATTTAATCAAAACAAGAACTACTGGCTGGGCACAGTGGCTCACGCTTGTAATCCCAGCACTTTGGGAGGCTGAGGTGAGAGAACTGCATGAGCCCAGGGGTTTGAGACCAACCTTGTCTCTACAATAAATCAAGAAAAATTAGCCAGGCATGGTGGTGCATCCCTGTAGTTCCAGCTAGTTAGAAGACTGAGGCGGAAGGATTGCCTGAACCCAGCAAGTTGAGGCTGCGGTGGCCATGAGCATACTGCTACACTCCAGTATGGGCAACAGAGTGAGACTCCAACTCAAAAAAAGAGAGAGTAATTTCAAAACATCTGGTGGATGTATTTTAAATTAATGCCAAAATTTTAAAACAGGGGTGATTAGACAATGAAGACTGTACGGAGAATCCTTGTGGAGTTTTAAGTATGTTAGATGGTCAGAAATCCCTAATTCAGGAGTCAACAGTTAAGAATGGGGGCATTCAGTAAGTAGAAAGTCCTAGAAGGTTCTCTGTGTGGTATGGTTTTAGATGCTATTTTGTTGTGTATCTGGGATTAGAGGAGCCTTAAATATTTGCCATTGTTAGCATACCTCTTTGAGCATATCTACTCTGAGGTGGATATTTGCAGTCTCTGAGTTTGAAGACCTTTAGGGTTAGAAAGGACTCTGAGAAGGATAATATATGACAGAAAATTCTCTTGTCTCTATTTTTAGCTATAGAGGAAAGTAGAGGCTTGGGAGTACACCTGATGTTGAGATGTATGAATGTGAGTCTTTGCAGCACCTTTAAGGTGAGGGTCGGCTAACCAGGCTTTGGGAGGCCGAGGTGAGTGAATTGCCTGAGCCCACGGTTTCGAGACCCACCTGGGCAACTTGGCGAGACCTTATCTCTACAATAAATAAAAAATTAGCTGGGGGTGGTAGTGCGCACCTGTAGTTCCAGCTATTTGGAAGACGGAGGCGGAAAGATCGCCGGAGCCCAGCAGGTAGAGGCTGCGGTGGCCGGGAGCAGCCACTGCACTCCAGTATGGGCGACAGAGTGAGACTCCAACTCAAAAAAAAAAAGAATCCAGATGAACACACAGATGATGATTAAATAGGGGAGCAGTACCAAGATATATATTACCTGAATTGAGAGCAGGACGTATCAGCAATCATGTGCCAGGAGTGGTCAACCAACAATCAGCAGGGGTCAAAAGTTCTGAGTTAGAAAAGAGCAGGAGTTAGAAGACAGCTTTCAGTAAGGATCAAGGGCTAGTGGGAGTAAAAGGCCAGAGGGAGTAAGAACTTAGCAGATCAGCAAGTAACACTGAGGCAAAGGATAAAGCATCTGAGAACGTCAAGGAATCCAAAAATGGTGGCTCACCTTCCCAATCGACTTGAGCCCATCGATCATAAAAGCACCAACGAGACACCAGGAAATAAAGAAGGGCAGGCTCAGACTGAAGACTGGTGGCCTACTGGCCTGAATTTTGTCTGAGGCCTTCAATGTCTGCTGGTACCAGAAGTATATGGAGGGTGTCGTTCGTACACATTCAGGATCTGGGGGGACCTGGTTTTGGACATGCCTGCTAGACAGGGTAACCCCTCTTCTTCTTTATCCCTCCCCCCACCTCCCTCTCCTCTTTCCCTTTCCCATTTCTTTTTCTTCCTTCTATCTTCCTCTTCTTTGTCCCTCCCTTCTCCTTTCTCCACTTCCAAATTTCCTTTCAGTTCTCTATTTTCCCCTTGTCTTCCTCTTTCACTTCCTCCTCACCAGAATCAGTGGAGGAATCATTAAGGGACAGTGCTCCCATGGAACAGGAAACTCTAAGGATTGGCTCATGTAGAAGATGATCCAGCAATTTGTCACATTCAAATACATGCTGGTGATGAAGCACACCTGGGGGTTAGGAAGGAGGTGGCTGTGAAGGAGAAGTAGGGACAGAAGAAGAGAGGGGATTTGACAGAGGATTGGGGTACCAGAGGAATTTGATCCATGGAAGTAGCCATGGGAGCCACTTCAGGATGAAGGGTTGGATTGGTAGGGTGGAAAAGGCAGGCCTGGGCAGCCCAGGGCTCCTCACCATGAAGCTGGTATACCCCACACCACCAGTCCAGGGACTGATGATCTTCCATACGCCCATGCTACCCTGACGCGTGCTCTGCCAGCTGCCATCTCCAAGAAAAGAAGAGGAACTCCAACCAGGAACAGCACGAGGATGTAGACAATGCCGAAAGTGTCTGAGAAGAGGATTCAGGAGGGACTGTAAAACCCATCTGGCCTTTCAGTGCCTGGAATTCTTCAGGAGCCCAAGAAAATACATTCCCACCAGCTACCTCCCTCAGGGGCACAGACCTCAGGGCTCACCTGTTTCCACATTTCTCACAGTCCCAAGTATCCAGTCCCCTGACTCCCAATTCCTGAAACACCACAGGTACCTAGTTCCCACCCCACTTCTGACTCAGGCTTTTAGTCCTACCATCCTCATGTTCAGCTACCCTGCACCTCTACCTCTCTATGATACTAGATGTTCAAGCACCTTGTTCCTGTATACTCAGGCTCCAAGTCTCCATCTCCAGTCTCTACATATCTCAGAGACATTAGAGTTTAAAGCCTGGACAAGCCTCTGTCCTGCTAGACCTTGTGTATTCAGGTTTCCTGGTCCCCAGACTTACAGCCTCTGTAGAAAAGCCAGAGGTGGGTAAAGCGCCAGAGATAAAATGGCCTTAAAGAGGAGCCTACCTGGGCCAGGACGTACTCAGTTTTGCTGGACCACTGTGGACGGATAGTGAGGACCTCATTCTCTTCTTTCTTTGTCACCTTCACCTCCTCCTCATGTGGGGGTTTCTGTTCTATGTCTGAGGTGGTTTCCACTTCCAACACAGGAGTTTCCTGGCATATGCCGGGCCGAGCCTGAGCCTTATAAGCCTGGGCCTCCCAGGCCTGAGCATGTGCAGTCCGGATTGCTAAAGCATGGGCCCCTAAAGCATAGGTTGTTTGAGACCATCTCATTGCGACCTTGTCTTCCCAAGTTTGACTTCCTGGGGCACTGTCGGAAACGCTTGTCTCAGTCGATGACACATTTGCCAAAAGAAATATTGAAGCCTGGGCCTCTGGCTTCATCCCAGGTGGGCTCACTGTAGCAGTTCTGGCTTCTTCAAGGGAGTGCTCAAGTTCCTGAAGAGACCTGAAGAACACCCAAAACTGCAGATTTTAGAGTTAGGGAATTACTGAGTTCCAAAGCAATCCTCAATTTCCTCAACACAAAACTTTGTTTCTAACCCTACCACCACTGACATTCAAGCACATACACAAACAAATCTCTTGTATAAGTTTTACTTCTTAGAAATATTTTCATGCAAGGGATAGGAGTCGAGGTAGCCAAAGCCAACAGTCAGGAATCCTACTCAAAGGATTTCTGAGAACACTGAGGTATATACCCTAAAGAGGGAGGTACCATTTATAGTGGGCTTTTGAATAAAAAGAAAAAACAATTTAATACTAAATCTGCCTTGTAGCCTTGGAAAGGGTACTTTACCTCTCTGAGCATTCTTGTCTGTAAAACACTCAAGTCTCTGCTCAAATATAGGCTCCCCAGAGAGGTTTCCTTGCCCACCTATCTAAAATAGCACTACCTAGCCGGGCTTGGTGGCTCAGCATGTAATCCCAGCACTTTGGGAGGCTGAGGTGAGTGGATTGCTTGAGCCTGCGGGTTCGAGACCCGCCTGGGCAACTTGGCGAGGCCTCATCTCTACAATAAGATTAAAAAAAATTAGCCGGTCATGGTAGCACGCACCTGTAGTTCCAGCTACTTGGAAGGTTGAGGCGGAAGGATCGCCGGAGCCGGCAGGTCAAGGCTGCGGTGGGCGGGAGTGTACCACTGCCCTCCAGTCTGGGTGACGGGGTGAGACTCCAAATCAAAAATAAAATAAAATAAAATAAAACAAAATAGCACTACCTACCCACCGCTATCTCCATCCTACCTCTTTTTACTTTTATTCACAGTATTTCTCATCTCCTAATGTTATTATCTATTGGTCACTGATCTACTTGCTATCCATCTCTGCTTACTGCTCTATCTCCAGTGGAAGGATGGTGCTCTACCTCACGTCTGGGGCCACTCTCTCTCTGCTCTCTGTGCTCTGGTCACTTGGAATTTGTGTTGGCTCTCCAAATGTTCTACAAGAGAATGTACAAGGAATGTGCTGAAAAAGAAAAGAAAAAAATATCATGTGAAAGAAAGGAAGAAAGGGGGAAATGAAAGTTTTCTTTCTGGGGAAGAAGGAGCATGCTTTACAAAAGCAGAGGCAGCAGGCAGGCCTCAAGGCAACACTAGCATATCTGGGTCACATGGATAATCAGCTGAGAGTTTCCAAAGAGTTCTTAGTAACTCAAGAGAATACTTGCAATTCAATGATAGGTTAAAAACACAAAAGATCGCCTGGGCAGCGAGACCTCATCTCTACAATAAATCAAAAAATCAGCTGGGCGTGGTAGCGCATGCCTGTAATTCCGGCTACTCGGAAGGCTGAGGTGGAAGGATTGCTGGAGCCCAGCAGGTCGAGGCTGTGGTGGCTGGGAGCGGCCACTGCACTCCAGACTCCAACTCAAAAAAAAAAAAAAAGAAAGTCCATGAATATAGACTGTATATAGAAAAGGAACTCTAATACAGACACACTGTTACAGATAAGTGACTTTGTAATAGAAAAAAATGGAAGCCATAAGACAGTAGTAAGATATGATCAACGTGTTGAAATAAAAAAAACTTCCGATCTAGAATTTTAAACCCTCAAAAATACATTTTTTTTTTAGTTGGAGTTTCACTCTGTCACCCAGACTGTAATGCAGTGGCACGCTCCTGGCCACCGCAGCCTCGACCTGCTGGGCTCCGGTGATCCTTCTGCCTCAGCCTTCCAAGTAGCTGGAACTACAGGCACGTGCTACCACATCCAGCTAATTTTTGATTTATTGTAGAGATGAGGTCTCACCAAGTTGCCTGGGTGGGTCTCAAACCCGCGGGCTCAGGCGATCCACTCACCTCAACCTCCCAAAGCGCTAGTATTATAGGCTGAGCCACCGAGCCCAGCCCAAAAATACTTATATTTTTAAATGAGTGTAAAATGAAGATAGATTACAACAGACAAAAATTTTGAAAGTCAGTCACCAACAGATTTGCATTAAAAGAAATTCTAAAACGTGGTTTCAGGCAGTAGAAAAGTAATATTGGATAGGTGGTTTGAGAAAAAAGAGGAATAATGGGGATAAAAGGTAAATGTGAATGAAAACCTGAATTAAAAATAACTATACAAAACAAAGGAATAATGTATTGGAATACTGAAAAGTAAGACAAAGAGCATCAGACCAACAGCATATAAGTTGGGAAGAAGGTAAATAGAACTCAGATATTCTAAGTTCTTCATATCTAATGAGAGGAGGGGAAACATATTGTAGCTTCAAACTTCAATAAATGAGGTGTGCATTTTTCAAGTTCTGAGGTGACCATTAAATGAATACAAACAGGGCTGGGCACAGTGGTTCAAATCTGCAATCCCAGCACTTTGGGAGACCAAGGTGAGAGGATTGCCTAAGCCCAGGAGTTCATGACCATCTTGGACAACATGGCAAGACTTTGTCTCTACAATAAGTCAAAAATTAGCTGGGCATAATGGCACACCACTGTAGTATCAGCTACTTGGAAGACTGAGGCAGAAGGATCACCTAAGACCAACACATCGAGGCTACAGTAGCCATGATTGTACCACTGCACTCCAGCCTGGGTGACAGAGTGAGACTCCAACTCAAGAGGAAGCGGGAGGGGGGAGGAAGAGGAGAAGAGTAAGAAGGGGGAGGAGGAGGAGATGACAAACAGAATGTGTTTATGACTATAAGAAGAAAAAATTATTAAAATACCAGTACGCAAAAATAAAACACAAAAACCTGTCAACCAAGCATACTGTACCCAGCAATCCTATCCTTCAAAAATGAAAGGGAGGTAAAAACTTTCTCAGACAAAAGAAGCTGAGGGAATGTATTATCACTAGACCTACCTTACAAGAAATGCTAAAAGGAGTTCCTTCAAGCTGAATTTAAAAATTGCTAAGTAGCAACAATGGAAAACTCCCTGGTAAATGTAAGTAGATAGTCAAACTTAGAACAATCATACCGTAATGGTGGTGTGACAATCAATCTCACATCTCCAGTATGAATGTTAAAAAGACAACTATTTAAGACAATTATAACTACAAAAATTTGTTAAGGGACACAAACTAAAAAGATATAAAATGTGTTATCAAAAGAAAATCATGAGTATGGGGAGTAAAAGTGTAGATTTTGTGCAAGTGATCAAAATTAAGTAATAATCAGTTTAAAATAACATGAGATTAATATAAGATGTTTTACGTAAGCTTCATAGTAACCACAAAGCAAAAACCCTTTGTAGAAATGATTTAAAGCATACCACTATAGAAAATCAATATTAGTCACACTGATGTTATAATAAAGGAGAAAAATCTTATCATCTCAAGACATACAGAAAAAGCATTCCATAAAATGCAACATCCACTCATGATTGGAAGAAAAAAAATTTTAGCAAACTAGGAATAATTTTTGTAACCTGATCAATGATGACTACCAAGAAAAATCATACTCAATAGTGACATGTGGAAAGCTTTCCTTTGAAATAAAAAATAATCAGTGAAATCTGCTATCAGCACTTCCTTCCCATGCATTAAATATTTTAGGCAACACAGTAAAGCAAGGGTAATAAAAGACATGAGGATTACAGAATATAAAACTCACTATTCACAGATAATATGATTATGTATGTGAAAGGTCCAAAATTCTGCAGATAAATTATTAAAATTAATAAGACAGTTTATTAACTTTGTTGGATTTAAACAACAATAAATGAAAACAATTACATGTCTGTTAACTTGCAACAAATAATTAGAAAATAAAATTTACTGCTGGACATGGTGGCTCAAGCCTGTAATCTCAGCACTGAGAAGCCAAGGCAAGAGGACTGCCTAAGCCCAGGGGTTCAAGACCAGCCTGGGCAACTTGGCGAGACCCCGTCTCTACAATAAGTCAAAAAAAAATTAGCTGGATGTGGTAGCACGCACCTGTAGTTTTAGCTACTTGGAAAGCTGAGCCAGAAGGATCATCTGAGCCCAGCAAGTCGAGGCTGTGGTGACTGTGAGCATGGCATTGCACTCCAGCCTGGGCAGCAGAGTGAGACTCCAACTCAGAAAAAAAGAAGAGAAAAGAAAAGAAAGAAAAGGCACGCCAATGGTGAGTCTTTATACAGCCAGGCATGGTGGCTCATACCCCTAATCCCAGCACTTTGGGAAGCCAAGGTGAAAGGGCTGCCTGAGCCCATGGGTTCAAAGCAAGCCTGGGCAACTAGGTGAAACTTCATCTCTAAAATAAATCAAAAAATTAGCTGGGCATGGTGGCACATGCCTGTAGTTCCAGTTACTTGGAAAGTTGAGGCAGAAGAATCGCCTGGGTGACAGAGTGAGAATACAACTAAAAAAAAAAAATTAAACAGCTACCTTTATAAAATAATTTTTAAAATACAGAGTAAAATCCTGGAAAGATAATGGCAGTTACAGTAACATAGTTTTTTGGGGTTTTTTTTTAGATGGAGTCTCACTCTGTCGCCCAGACTGGAGTGCAGTGACCGCTCCCGGCACCACAGCCTCGACCCCCTGGGCTCTGGCGATCCTTCCGCCTCAGCCTTCCAAGTAGCTGGAACTACAGGCGCACACTACCATGCCCGGCTAATTTTTTGATTTATTGGAGAGATGAGGTCTCACCAAGTTGCCCAGGCGGGTCTCGAACCCGCGGGCTCAGGCAATCCACTCACCTCAGCCTCCCAAGGCGCGGGATTACAGGCTGAGCCACCGAGCCCGGCTGTAACATAGTTTTTTAATCTTCCCAAATACCCACATAAGACAGGAAGTTCTACAAGGTTGTAAACTGAGAACTTATGGACAATATTTACAAGATAAACCCAAAATACAAGTTTATGGCAACAAGCCACCAACAGCCTCAGACCTGTAAAGAATCAGCATCTGCATGGGGGAAAGCAGAGGGAAATGACAGAGCATCTGACAGACCCG